GACCAGAGAGAGAGAGAGAGAGAAATTGAGAAAGCAAGCTACCAGGTCCAGGACTTGAACTGTGGTCAGCCCTGTGGGAGTCCAGCGTCTTTAACTGCCACCTGCTGGCCTGAGATTGTGACTTTAAATAGCAAATTTAAAAAGGTCATAAGATATTTGGAGAAAGACTGCAGAAGAATAGAAAAAGGCTTTTTTCCTCTTTTTTTTTTTTTTTTTTTTTATTTTTTTTTGAGAGGTTTTTGCTATAGGGCACGTGTGCTCACCAGAAAGATAGAGACAGAGAGACAGAAAGTGAGAAATACCTGGCTCCGCAATCCCTTCTCTTCCATTCTCCTCTCAGGATCTTGGGCACACACACCTGGTGTGAGTTTAAGCCACCGAGTCTGGGAATCGAACTGCTGTCAACTACATGGAAGTCCAACAACATAGCCATTGCACCAACTGCTGGTCCCAGTTTTTTTTTTTTTTTTAATCTTTAATTTAGAAAATCTTTTTTAAAAAATGTTTTTCTGTATTCATGATAGACAATGTGCATATGTGTGCAAGAGAGAGAGGGGGTAGAGAGAGAGAGAGAGAGAAGCATCCTTCACAGGGTCAGGTCATGCCATGATCCCCTCTCCCAGTCTGCTAGCCCATTGGGTCCTGGGCACCCTGTGTGCATGCCTGGTATGTTTCAGGCTAACCAGGCTGAGGATTCAAACTGGTGGCCATGTGGGATCTGGCTTCCCTTAAGCAGTGCTTTATTGCTATACCATGGAGCCAGCACTCTAACTTTTTAAAGAAGTTAATTTATTTCTTCCATGAGTGAGAGAGACAGAAAAACAGCACCCCCAACAGGGTCTTGACACCACGATCCATCCCCAGCTTCAGCCAGCCCCAGATATTGAATATGTGGGTGCCTGGCACATTCAGGGAGTTCTCTGATATTAATCCAGAACCTTCTCATGTGGGTCAGCCTTCCAGAGTGTAGTGTTTTATCATTATAACACTATTTAGCCCTCTCTTCTCAGCTTGTTTTTTTTTTTTTTTTAAAAAGATTTTTACTATAGGATGGTTGGTCTTGGAAAGAGATTTTTGCTATAGGATGTGTGTGCTTGCAGGAGAGACAGAGAGAGACGGAAAGCAAGAAATCACTCCCCAGGGTGGATGGGCATATTGCAATCCCTTCTCCTCCATTCTCCTCTTGGGATCTTGGGCATGAATACACACATACCCGGCATGTTTTAAGCTGCTGGGTCTGGGACTCGAACTGTGGTCGACTACATGGGAGTCCAGCGATATAACCATTATGCCACATGCTGGTCCCACTTCTCAGATTTTTGAACAAGGGACTCCACATTTTCATTTTGCACTGGGTTTGGCAAATTATTGGTTTGTCCAGAAAGTCCTGACACATTTTTGTATAGAAAAACAGAAAAATACATCATGACTTTCCTGATGACCTAATATATAGCCAGCCCTGGTCATAGGGTTCTCTCTCTCTCTTTTTCATAGAAAGAAAAAAAGAAAAAAGCTGCTTCATATGGATTGTGTGATTAATCGATACACCATTAATTAGGTAAAAAGCTCAGAGACAGGCATCTGAAACAGAGGTCCACAACCTTTTTGGCACTAGGGACCAGGTTTATGGAAGACAATTTTTCCATGGACCAGGTCCTAGTGTGCTGGGCAGAACTGCACAGTAGTTAAGCACTTAGACTTTGGTGCTGAATTTCCTGGGTTCAAATCTTTTTCCTATCCATAGAACTTTGGACAAGTGACTCAGTCTCAGTTGTCCCATCTGTACTATGGGGAGAATAATACCTCTTATTTCATAGGGTTATTGTGAGTCACATAAGTCTATACCATTACTACTCATTTTAGTCATTTATTGTGTTTGAGACAGGTACCCTGGGTCCCAGGTTTTCAGAGTTGGTCAAGATTCCAAGGTTGCTAATTCAGATAATGAGCTGTTGTCCAGACCAAAGTCCTGAGTTTGAATTCTCTTTTGTTGGTGTAGGTTCGTGGTTTACAGCTACAAGTACGTGCACACGGATGGCCGAGTGTCCTACCCTTTGTGTTTCATCTTCTCCAGCCCTGTGGGTGAGACACAGCTCTACCTGCCCTGAGGAGAGGGTCTTAGATTCTGTGTGGGGAATGTGAGTGTGTGTGTATGGGTGCAAGTGCATGGATGCACGTGCATATGTGTAAGTGCCTGGGTTAGAGTGTGAGGATGTGTAAGTGAGTGTGGCTGTTCATGTGCAGGCCCCTGTGTTAGTATGAGCATGTGAGAGCATGTGTGTGACTGGGTGAGGGTGTGGTATGTGTGGGGGGTGTGTGTATCAGTGTTAGTGCGTGTGCAGTGTGTGTAAGCATGCATGTGTGGTATGTGGGAGGACAGCGAAGTAGAGGCAGGGACTCAGAGTCGTCTAGAGTCTACCAACATCCTCAGTCCTGGACATTAGCCAACCCACCTCTTCCTTTTATCTAGAAATCCCTGGCTGGCCCCTAAATCATCTCGGAATGACTTGAAGCCCCTAAACGAACCTGGAAATTCTGAGTACAGCCTTTGAGGATCTCCTTAGAACAGATCCTAGGGGGGAACCAGCAGTTAGCGTAATGGCTATGTCGCTGGACTCCCACGTAGTCGACCGTGGTTCACGTCCCAGACCTGGTGGCTTAAAACTCACGCCGGGTGCGTGCGCGTGTATGCCCAGGATCCCGAGAGGAGAATGAAGGAGAAGGGATTGCGGCGTGGCCATCCCCCCTGGGGGGTGATTTCTCGCTTTCTGTCTCTCTGTCTCTGTCTGTCTGGCGAGCGCATGCGCCCTATAGCAAAAACCTCTCAAAAAAAAAATAAAAAAGAACAGATCCTAGGACCCTTAGAAAATTGCAGGGCCTGTAGGACTTTAGAGCTTTAGACTCGGGTCCCTAACTATGCTCCCCTCTCCTCTTTTCCATGTAGGCTGCAAGCCTGAACAGCAAATGATGTATGCGGGGAGTAAGAACAGGCTGGTGCAGACGGCAGAGCTCACAAAGGTCTGGACAGGGCTTCGGCTTAGAGAGGGGGGCTGGAGGGTGGAGGAACTGGGGGTCCCTGGCTCCTGGGTTGAGGGGGCTGGAGTCCTCACTGGATTATAATGCTGAGACCTCTCTGTGTCTAGGTGTTTGAAATACGCACCACTGACGACCTCACAGAGGCCTGGCTCCAAGAGAAGTTGTCTTTCTTTCGTTGATCTCTGGGCTGTGGAATTGAATTCCTGATGTCTGAGTCTTCAAGGGGACTGGGGACGTGGACCCCTTAGGACCTGAACATCCAGGACCCTAAATAAATTAAAAATGCGAGAACTCAGAGGTATTCTGTTCTGGCTCTGTTTCTGCCCATCATTTGGGCTCTAGCTTACAGTCTCTGCAGTACTAGGTCTAGGCCGGCAGGGGGCAGGCAGACCTAATGGAACATGAGCTAGGTCTTGGGAGGTAAGGATACCTGTTTCTCTGAAAAAAAAAAAAAGGGAGGGGCCTGTAGAATTTCCTGGAGAATGTGGGGTGGGCTCTTGGAGGAAATGGGAGAATATTTGAATCTATGAAGGGGTCACTCCCAAGGGGAACAAGGATCCCTGAGAGTAAAGGCGACCAAGTACCTGTTTCCCCTCCTTCCTCCTTCCCTCCCGGATCCTGGGGGGCTGGTGGGCATCAGCTAAGCCTCCAGATAGAAATAATTTAAAGGCAAAAAGTCGAAGGATCAAATATAATTGCTTCTGGGGCTCAGGAGTTGCTGAGTGGCTGGTTTGTGTGGTTGGGTAGGCCCAATGCTGGGGGAGATGAAGCGTATCCAGGACCCTCTGTGGACTCCAGAGGGGCAAGAGGTAGAGGAGGCAAGGATAGGACACTGCACACACCACTATCTGGAGACTCTTCTCCCCTTTCTTCTGGTATTTCTGGCCACTTAACTCTCTTGGCCTTTGTCTCTGACGGACATTTATTGAACACCCACAGTGTACCAAGTTCTGAGAATTCTGAGATGGGCAGGTCTTCAGTGAATCACCCATACTCTTTCTGTCTCAGCTTCTCTTCCCAGTGTCTGATAGTTCCTCTCTGTCCCAGGATTCATGGGCCTGGGAACACCCTCCCCCAACCCCTTTCCAGGTTGCAGTAGAGAGGTGGCTGTTGTCATGGTAACAATGACACAATGACCTTGAGTCTGGGTTACCCCTCCCC